TTATTTGTTTTCATTCGAGAACTTCAACAAGTGCACGACGGAAGTAAACGCGGCAGTTCAGTAATGAACCAGTATCGTTTAGTTTCCAAATTTATTAGGAATCTAATTTTTTGTTCCTCTACGACTCTTGCACTGAAACCCACAAAAAGGAAACCCCGAATTTCTAGATAAACTACCATTAGTTGCACTAAAATAAGAAGTTCAAATACACATTCAAAATAAATTAGGGATATTACTTCACTGTAAGGAGAAAGGAATGTTTCGTTTTCTGAAAATTTCTGCTTTTTTCTGCTTATTATCTACTTATGCTTTTTGCTGAGTATAAAGCGTCTTCTGTTAAGTTCAAGTAGCATCTCTGATTTAAAGTTAGGTTTTCTCCCTGTATATTAAATCTTCCAGCTATGCAAGATTTTTTATTAAATAATTTACGTTAGGATGCAACATTTTATAATTTTTTGGTAGTAAATGTTAATTTTAGCATGTTTCAATTTTGGGAAGAGGTCTCCAGGAAAACAAATTATAGAAGCAAACTCATACTATACCATTCTAAAGAGTGTAGTATGTATTTGCTATTAGAGTTATCATGCACTCTAGCAAAGAAATCAATAATGGACTAATAATTAAATATGCTCATTATCGGTCTAAAATGGACAAGAGATTATATAGATAAAATTATGTATAATGGATATAAAAGCTTTGCCAATTTGAGATTGAATATATTTAGTGATTTGCATATATGACTCTTCTCTACCTATGATTCTTCATCATAATAATCTTTTGATGGTACCTTTTGTATTCACTAAAGTTGACAGTGATTTATTACCTAATATATATATATATATATGATCATATATATATGATCATATATACTTTCTGGCCTTTATATCTTCATGTATTCACTGACTTATTTAATATATTTTATTATTTTATATTATTTTTATGTTTTTGATTGTTTTTACAAGTTTGGCATTATTTACTCTTTTTTATAATCTTCTATGTTTATTTCAACTTTACTTTGATTTCGATTTCATAATGACAATTCCCAATGTTTAATTTTACAAATAATATAGTACTCAAATGCATAAAGATGATAGTGTCGGGGACGATTACTCGAGTTTTACAGGATTTCTCTACAGTAATTGATTTTTTACTCCAAATTGAATTGACAAAAATGCTTCATGAGAATAAGTTCTTTGAGTAGCAACTATTCGCGGAAATATTTGGCCTATTGACTAGAATTGCCGGTTTTGGCTTTAACTTATAACTCGAGTAAAGACGAAACAACACTTTCATTTTACGTATTTTTATCAATTATTGTTCGTTGAACGGGAGTTGGTTTGTTCCCCTTGAAAAGTCAACTAATTTCCGATCAATGACAATAATACATGTTTTAATTTTTCCTTTTACAATTGTAAATATTATTCATGGATGATCTATCTCCAGTCCCTGTTAAAAATTATTAAAACATTTTGCTTTCAAATTACTTCAAAACATCTTTCAAAAATATAAACTTACAGTATGGATGCACACTTTTAAAATAATTCTACTTTAATTAAACTTAGGAGATAATATAATCAAATTATCAATACTGTTTAGGAAATAAATTATTATTTACTAACTTTGCAGCAATTGCGCAAGTAATAATATAACTTATTCGCACTAAATGGATTTAAGTTCATACAATATATCATATATATATATATATATATTCATATATATATCATATATATATATATATGATCATATATATATATATAGGTATCAGCTTTTGTCCGAATAAATAGATCGTTGAAGAAATATAGATGTAGTCGTAGCTTAATAATCAGACGATAAGTTTAAAAAACAAGGATCCATTTATTATTATTCAGTAGAAATAGCAGTTACAAAAATCAGATATCGGAGTAAATAAAAGAATTATTAATCCCTTTTTGTATGAAGTTACTGCATAGTAACATTTAAGAAAAAAGCCCATATACCTTTTGCGAGTCCTTTTATAGCCTTGGAAAGGCGGAAGTTTCCAAGAAATGACGTTAGCCTCGTCAGCCAATCATTAAATATCTCCAGAACATTCTAAACTGTACGTGTAGAAAGGCGGGAAAAAAACCAACAACTTGACTACGGGGCTGTGGATTTAATTCCACGAACTTTCAAATAAGAGACGTCGCCATTAAAATGAAAGAGAACATACATACTTACGTGTATTCGTGACTATGGAATTTTATTATTACACACACACACACATTTATATATATATATATATATATAGATAGATATAGTTAGAGATTGTGCTCCGCGTATATGTTATCTATAATTGAGGAGTTTAATGACATAGTTCAGGCATAGTCCAAGCTTGATGTGAATAAGGGCAGCGGGGCAGATTTCTGAAGTATTAAAAAAGCAGAAACTAGAGGTTTTTCATTTTTTAAACAGCAGTAAACAAGGTTTGAATAAAAAGAAAATTTTTAAAAGGTCTACAAGGATTTCGCATTTTTTAATTAACATAGTTACATATAATTAAGAGTAAATAATTCTTGCTACTCTTGATCTGTATTTAGGAATGTATGTTCCTGTGTTTTACAAATTAAAACATTTTTTCTAATGCATTGAAATTCTTTTAGTAGGAAAATATTATATTCTGATTATAGCTGTTAAGTTATTTCAATACAGGTAATATGAAATTTGAAAGAAAACGTAGTGTTTTTACAATGACTGAGAAATGTTTTTATCCAAATGAAGAAGCACGTGTTAATATAAAAATTAGATAAGTTATTTTGAATTACTTTTAATCCATATGATTCCTTTGGAAAAAATAAAACGAAGTGTCACGAAATAAGGAGCACTGTGGAGATATTATTATAGAAAAAGTAAAACTATTTTAAAATAAACCAAGCTTACCAAGTTTTTTGTTCAGAAAACAGTAGATTTACTTTCTACACTAAACTAACACGGGAATCAATATACAAAAGTAAAATTTATTCACAAATCATATAATTAATGCATTAGGTAGAATATGGATTATCAGATAAGTATTCTTGCTCTCCTATGTACGTTGTATATATTCGTATTCGTCGTGTCATTTGGCAAGATAGAAGTATTGTTGATGCGGCATGCATCTAATGCATTTGGATCTTTTGCTGCCAATCTAGCCAATGTTCTAAAAATAGCATCGCCAAGCCCGTGAGCCAATGAGATGCGATTTTTTATCTTTCGATTATTATTCAAAACAATTAGTGCACACCACATATTTTGAAACTATTACAAACATAATACAGCTTAGCCATAGTATTGCTGATTGCTTAAAACGTGACGACATCTGCTTCAAAACAAAGCAAGAATCGAAGAAAAATGTGCTTGCAGCTGGCAAGTCACAATTTGCTAATATGTGGCTTGACTTTCCAATAGAAACTTTTATTTTTAAACTGTAATGAATTTAAAAACTTCACTCTTACTGATTATTAGTTAATCGTTTTGGAGGAGAGAAATGCAATCAACAATCTCCTATCTTTCTAAAGTAATAAACAATTGTATTTTATTTACTACTGTCACAAGGCTTTGCTTTTATAGATGGTATAGAATAAGATGGTATTTATAATTTCTGGTGAACAGTATATGGAAACTATTTTAAACTCAAGACTGAAAATTACATCATTAATCTTTGTTTTTATTTTGATGTGTTGATCTAAACTTATTTAAAGCATTAAGCGTTCCGAACTACTCATTCTTAGATTCGTTTTTCATATTTCTAAAATTTTGTTTGCATATATTATGTTTCGAGAGCTCCTTCGTTCATAATCAAGAATTTCCTAACGATAGCAGTCTGGGTAAGTAGGATTTAATAGCTAGACATACTAAGATCAGTTGAATATAGCTGACCAATGGAAAATATATTATTTATTTTTCTACTTTGGATTTTCTGTTTACATTGTACAGAATAATTTAAAAAGAATTATCGGATTTAAAATTTTTGTGATTTTAAAAATTAACAATGCAGAATGATAAGAGACGGATGAATGTAAACGAAAATTGTCTGTGTTTTATTTAAAAATATTAGACATGACTTCCTTCTGTTACGCTCCTAATGTCAAGCATTATGAAAATTTTTGCCAAACACCTTCTTTGTTTCAATGGTATCTGGTTCTAAAGCAGTAGAAATGAGTTTTGTAAGGCTTATGCGCTTAGATGTCAGATGGCGTAAACAAATCTGCAAAAAATGAAGTCCTAGGGGTTTATATCTAAAGGGTCTTCTGTACAAAACCAAATTATCTGTCTTACTGACATACGCCTAGCATTGTGAAAACAAATGGAAAAAAATAGGCTTTCATCTGTTTAGACATCATTTTCATTTTTTCTCGAAAACAGCTCATGACAATTTTCTTTAAAGTTTAGTTGAATTTGAGTTAAACTGTATCCTTATACTTCTTGGGTGTCTCAGTCAGAGCTAAAGGCTAAGCGAGTTTAATGTTGAGCGGCGTAGTTTAAATGTAGGAGGTTAACCGTTAAGTCTGTTGGAGCTTGCGCCCCGTCGCCGCTGTGACTGACTAAATCTAATATCCCGTTGTGTTGCGAACGGCTGGGGTATGAATTGCTGTGCTATGGTAAGCGTTTACGAATTTAGATGTTATCGTATTCAACCAAGTGTTGTGGCTTTGAAGTAGGATGTTGTTGTAATTGCTTTGAATCTTAGCAACCAGGGCAAATCCCCGCAGTGTGTATTTCTTGTAACGACAAGTTTGTATTAAAGATGTAACAGCATGTTAAAAAATAAGCACTTATCTTTTTCTCAGTGATTGTCTCAGTTTCATTTTGACTGTTTTTTAAATACCATTAATTAAACTGATTTTCTACAGAACAGTTTACTGCAAATGTTTATAAAATATAATAGACTATTGCTACTTCAGTTTGCTACATAAGTTATTTGCTTGAGATAAAAAACATACTTTGCTTAGTTTCAAAAAAATTTATTTTAATTATGCATACTAGAGCAACATAAAAATGAACTAAAAATAAACGTTTACTTGGAAACAAAATTTTTTACTAAAGCATGAAAATATTGTGCTCAGAGAAGTAAAACATTGGTAACTATTTTAATAAGTAATAATTAGATATTTAACTTGATATATTGCAAAATGAAACACTCATTTCTTTGTAAAGAACAAAATTTATTTTCTAGTTAATGTAAATTTAATGTTAAAATTAGAAGAAACAAAGAAACTTGAACAAGATCACTGAAAGTATTATACAAAGTTTTTATCGAAGTGCTCTTGACATACTTCAGAATCCTTAATTTCTGTGTCATCGGTCTGAGAAAGCGAGATGATATGCAGCACAGTTACAATCTTGTATCTTTCCAGTTAAAATGGTAAACTGCCCAGGCAAGAGTAAATTAAGTTCCATCGATAATCATTTGAGAAAGAACGCATAATCCAAGAAATCTTTTCGCAAGAACTGATTCGTGTCAATGAGATGAATCAATTCTCCCATTCATATTAATCGCAAATTAATGAAAGATCCTTCGCTTGTATGAGTATATTTTCATAACACAATAGCTGATAAAGAAGCGTGTAATTATAACCTAATCATCAAAGAGTAAGATGTCTGTATTGCTAAAATTTTCTCTTTTCTGGATCTATAAGGAGATCAGGTTAGCTCAGGCAGCTCAACAGGATCTGAAACACGTTAAGAGAACAAAATAAATTAATTAGCAAATAATGTAAACTATGAGGGAAACTATTTTAATTTAGAAATTAAATTATAATAATTTATTCAATAATATCTTTCCTAAGGATTAATTACAACAGTATGTAAATGTGCTCCATACAAAGCATTTAGAAAGCTTCTGATATGGAAAGTAAGCATCCTAATATGCATTCCAAATTCCGGATATCAGGAAGGCATAAAAATTGTATATTATTTTAATACTAATTTATTATATATCATTTCAACTAACATTAAAAGAAAGGAAAACAGTTATTGATATTTGCAGGTTTATTGCACTGAAAACTTGAAGACACGTCTAAATTATTGTTTTAAATACACATTTTTGGAGTTTAGAGAGTAGGAGTAAATTGTAACTGATCTCTTATTTGACTTAGCAAAATTAAATTAAATCTTACAAATGCTTACATTACTGAGTCGACTCTAAATGCATTAAAATTTGAATTATTGGTAATAAATATTTCATTTGAGTACTGTAGGCTCATTTGAAAATTTAAATAGTAACACTGTCTACCAAAACAGTTTAGAACTATGAAACCTCATTTTTTAGATTAATAAGTAACTCAAATCATTATATCATGCTCGTTATCATCAGGAAGTTTAAACTTTCATACAGTTCATGCACACGCTTCGTTTGAGCATGGTATTTATTTCATGCGAGATTAAAACCTACTGAAGTTCACAATGGTAATTTTTATCTTATAATTTCAAAAGTATGAAACACATTTTTTTTTCACAATTCATCGCAGAATATAACTGCATATGGTATCGTTAAAGATATATACTGTATATGAACGGAGCGTACAAACCTAATTACAAATGTCTAATGCAAATAAATGGTTTGATTGAGAAAATGCATCTTTAAGGGTCTGGATATTAACTCAGTACAGATATATTTAAATGTTTAAGAGTGAAGCCCATTACTATTTAACGAAACTAAATTATTTTTAGGTAAGAGGTAAGATATTTGTATCATAATGTGTAAGAATAGTTCAGAAAACCATCATGAGTCGTAGGTCATATAAAATCAATCACAAAAAGGGAAAGCTGAAGGAAACCAGTCATATTTAACTATATTCAGGAAAAATATTTGAAGTCTTATTAATACATTTAAAAGAGGATATTTAGGTGATTTTAAAGGAGAAAAAAAGAGATGGTCAGAAACAAGGGAAAGAACTCAGGTACCTTAATGTTAGTTATAATACAGTAGGTAGATTCTGGAACTAAACTGAAAGCTAATAGCGTGTTAAGAGAAGTATGTGTTATAATGCAACAGTTTATTTTATAATTTATTGCTAATATCAGATAGTATTACAGTAATATATTTTAGAAGAAAAGATTTACTGCTAATATTCTAGTAACTTTTGCACTTCTAAATTATTCTGACATATGTTTATTGAAAACTTTCTCTTAGATCCTAGATCAGATGGCTCAAAAACGTGACTGTTAAGTTTCAAGTTTTAACTAGTAAATGGATTTATAACAATCCGAACAACATTCTTATGGAATATTGCAACAATTGAATGATCAAAAAAGTAATTGTTTAAATTGAATGGATACATAGAAATTTATCTTATCAAAATTAGAATGACATTAAAAAATAGAATGCTCTTGCTTTCTTTTTAGCACCCCTTTTAATAAATCACAGTGTTACAGGCTGCAGAAATTTATCGTTGTTTGAAACATAAAGCCAAAATTATTTGAACAAGTTTTTAAAATGTGGAAAAGTTTCAATTAAAAATCTTTTCTTCTTCATACATAAATTAAGATATATGTGTGCACATAAAGATTAATGTTTTATTTATAAAGCCTAAAAAATGGCCTTTTTCTATCCTGTAGCAATATTTTCTATGCTTTGTTTGTGATATTATAAAAATCTGGTAAATCCTGGGCCACAGAGGACTTCTGTGTTTCCTTTTTCCTAATATATGCCTCATGCTCCTTAACGCGAAATTTTAAGGCTCTCTTAACCACTGACTCTCTTAACCTCTAGTTTGACCACTGCTGGGTGTCAAACTAAGAGAGCCTTAAAATTTCGTGTTAAGGAACATGAGGCATATATTAGGAAAAAGGAAGCACAGAAATCCTCTGTTGTTCAGCATTGTTGGTCCGAAAATCACACTTTCCATTTTTAGCCAGAAAACATTATTCAAAAAACATGTTCCATTGGTAAATTATATTTTCTAGAGGCGTTTTACATTCAAAACAATCTTTCTTTTCTAGTTAACGACCTTATTTCCAATCGATCTTTGCCTCAGCCTTTAAGGAAATTATGTTGTAGTTCTCGTTTCATCAAAGACGGCGCCAATAGCTTAACTACTGTCCAGCCATTCTTATCTTATCTTATCTAATCACTATATCTTAGCTCGTTCATATGCGCTTTGGCAGATGAGAATGATGGTTCGGTAAAAACCATCGAAACTAGTCCTGTAAAAATTTGCAAATATAACGCTGATTTTTGTTGTTTGACTTCAAAACTAATCAGTGTAAAATGTTTATGTTACTGTGTACGTGTCAGTGTATTCTATGTGTTTAAACCAATGTGCACGAAAATGGGTAACATGCCAATTTTTGTTTATATGTGTGCATCAGTGTAGAACTTGTGTGCGTCACTGGGTAAAATCACTGTAAAATGTTTTAATATCGATGTAATATATCAGTGCAAATGCTTATGTACAATGACACATGACAGTGTACGCAGGTGTCAAACAGATTTTTACGTGTAAGTACATCCTCAGTGATTAAACCTAAGTGGCGATAAAATGCAGCAGGGTAATATATGTTTAAATATACCCGCCAGCGCAGAATTTTTATATGTATCATAATGAGTTTAGTATAAAACGTATAAATGTCATTGTAAAAATCTACGTAATATGATTATGTCTGTGCAACAACGTATGCGTTAGTGTAAAATAGATGTTTTACATTAGTGTATTCTCAACGTCTAAATGCTATCAATAAAAATATCACTGTAAAATGTTTAGATATCAGTATAGAATTTTCAAATATCAGTGTACAGTATCAGTATAACAACATCATCAGTGTAACAGCATCTTTTACCGTGTATGAAACTGTTGTCTTATATTCCGATCTTGTATGGCCGTGTGCAATCAAATGTTCCTATTAAACTTCCGATGGCGTCCTCCTTGGCCCAAGAACTCCATGGCGCCCTCCATGGAGTTCTTGCATCGTACAGTTGCAGATTTCGGATTATACCTAGTCCTTGCAAGCCGCCCTGGTGTCCGGACCTGCTCTCACATGTCACCTATATAAATTTCCTCCTAATCTGTAGCGAGTAGCTATTCCTAGTTGCGATCCCGGACGATACCTAGTCCTTGCAAGCCGACCTAGTGTCCGGACCCACTCTCACCTGCCACCTGTCAAAATTTTCTCCCTAATCTGTCGTGGGATTAGAGAGCAGAACATGAAATGCAATCAAGATACTACTGAGTAAATATATGATACACAGTATTTAAGACAATGACCTGATACACAACATTTATCGACGAATTTAAATTGTCTCATTTACAACCTCAAATCATGTTTATTAAGCAAATACTAAAAAGATTTGCCTGTCAGGATGTATCTCAATGGTGAGTTAAATGCTAAAGATATCAGTCTGAGATTCGTATTATCGACTTCATAAATAAAATCTTAAAACCCCTGACAGACTGTAATTTATACTATCTAAATTGTACTCTCAAATTTGATATTTGGTTTCATCTTGAAATAAGTTATGACTTTCATTTGCTCAGAGTGATTTCCCCAGAATTTTGTTGAAATTATTGCCTGTTTTTGCTAACACATAAATAGTTTCTTTGTACCTATATGGCATTAATATCTGGGGTGGATTTGAAAATTTCTGTTAGATCCATTAGAGCAATAATTTTATATAAAGATGCACAACAAGAGTTACCGTAAAGTCATGAATAAAAAATTGTAAACTTCCAGTTTTCCCTTCTCTTACCTAGAGAATAAAGGAAGATGAGTATTAGAAAAAGGATTTTAGTAAATACAAAGCACTTTGTAATATATAAAATTTTCCTTGGAAAAAAATTAGTTAAGTAAAAAATTAGAATTGTATGCAACATACTCTGCATACCATTGAAAGGAATTTGGTCAAGACCAAATACATAACGAAGGTGGGGAATAAATCACATCTTTATAGTTTGGATGTAAAATTCATGTTCAGCAGCGAAATAAACACTGTTTCATCTCATTTCAAATACCTTAATCAAATTAATGATAGATTTTATTGAAAACTATTTAAACCAAACGCATAGTTTTTAAGAGCAGCTGGAAATTTAATGTAATTTTTTCAGTTTGTGTTCATATGATTATTAGTTAAATTTAAAATACTGTACAATCCAATATTACGTTTTCACTTTTAGTTCGAAAATAAATTTTACTTTTAATTTAAGCTCCATTATTCTCACTTTAAATTATGCTGTACATTATTTAGGGTAGTTATTCCCCGGTATTTGAACTTTTGATGGTCTGTGAAAAAATTACTGCTACAGAGCAATTTCAGATCACTAACTGGCATGAATTTCAATTCTTCACTAGAAAAATACGATAAATAATATTTAGCCATTTCTCATTCCGATAATGTAATAATTTAATAACAACTCATTTATTAATTATAAGGTAAGAAATGTAGTTTCGATTTGGAATAAGTATATTAGGCTTTTGGATTTCTAACAGCAAATTTTCCTAAGGTTTCAAACTTTACAAAAACAATAATGGAAAAAGATTGAATGCCCACTGTGTGATAAAGACTACTAAATGTCAAAAAATCATAAAAATAAAGACAGTGATTTATTAAAGACAATGAAAATGATATCAAGAGCTAAAATAGTATGCTAATATTTCTTCCTTTCTGATTACCCATAAAATATGATGTTGTAGATTATTTAACATTATATACATTTATTTTTGAGAAAAATTATCGAAAGGTAACACATTTTAAAATGAAATCTGTAATATAAAAAACATTTTATATAACAGGAGTTACATGTTATTTTCTGCTTCTTGTCTCTTTCAATTTCATTTAAGCAGTAGTCTCAAGATCTTAATTTTTAGATGCCTCTATTGATATTAAATTCATTTATAGAAACCGATGCAAGAAATTATTAATTAGTAAATTCTGTGCATGGAAATATGAATCACATTCCTGCATATTTTTTATCCTTTAGTTCGTTTCAAGCTTACTCTCTTGCTATCAGTAGCCAAACTATTAAAATCGCTAAACAGTGGGGGATCTAGGTTCTGTGCTTTCTAGTGGACTGGATTTGAACATAAGTAAATTAGTGATTTACTAATGAACGCATAAATATAGTTCAGAATTTCTTATAAAACTATCCAAGAAGATTTTTCGTGCTTTTCTATAACTAAATATAATTATTATTCGCTTATTTCATATAGTTACCATATCACAATCAAAGTATTACAAAGGAGAAAAAGTAAAGTAATAAACGGCTTATTTCCTGCATTGATTAGCACTATAGTAGTAACATCAAGGCAACTAATTTTATTTTAACTTTGCGTTTTTAATTATCGCTAATCCATTTTCTCTCATTTTGCCATCCAGTACTTCCATACTTATCACTAATAACAGTATTTCTACTAATGTACACTTCTGTAAATGTAACTAATCTAAATGCTTCTAAAATTTGATATTTGAATATAGATATTATGTCAAAGAATAATATTTTTTTCTTTTACTTACACTTTCAGCAGCCATTTAAAATGTTTGAATATGTTTCAAATACCACGATAGTAAAATATAACTATGGTCTTACTTTGGCTCAAAGTCCTTCTTTAGTTAAATTGCTTCCTTCAATTAAAATCTTTCTGATTATGAAGCTCTTCTCATCTTGAAATCTTCAAGAAGATTTTAGACTCAAGGCACATATATTACATTCACCGGCAGGATGACCGATTCCATTGTTATATGTGTTCATCCACACATTGCTTGGGTCATGTTTTCTGCTATATTTCACATCTGTGTGCCTCCTATGACTCCTTATGTGACTAAATAATAATGTGACCAATTAATAAAAATATATTCATTCACACATATTGCAGTATTTTACTCAATTTCTATATTAGTTTATATCTGTTTAGCCACCATTGATTTAAATATTAAACAGTATCTTAATGATGTTGAATTGAATGTTTTCATGGTTATGGTAGCCTAAAATTTTATTGAGTAGTACAATTTATCAATTGTTTTGAAGTCTTTTATCTAACGTCTTTTCAATAGCTCTAATTAATTATTACTTCTCAGGAAAAGAAGAAAGTAAAGAACACTAGATTAAACTATACGCGATCCAACGGCTTTAGAAAACCTCTGACACTGCTGAGACTTGATTGTGATTGATATGATATTGCTAAAAATGAAGCTGTTTGAGAAAAGCTTTTTGTATATATCAGCGTTAATGCTGAGAAAAATGCATTTTCCTTACGGCTTAAGAAAGCCTCTGACACTGCTGAGACTTGATTATGATTGATATGATACAACTAAAAATGAAGCTGTTTGAGAAGAGTGTATTTTATATCAGCGTTAATGCTGAGAAAAATGCATTTTGGATTAGCGTTAAGTTGAGAAAAATGCATTTTATATCAACATTAAAGCTGAGCGTATTTTATATTAGCGTTGTCTAAAATATGTTGAAACTAGTGGTAATAAAAAATTGTGAAAAGTTCTCGCAATGCAGCTGGTTATTATTTCATTAGCATTTACAATAATGTTTTGTTTTGTATTTTTATTATTTACTCGTTAAAGCATTATAATCAGCGTTTATTCTGAGAAAAATGCATTTTGGATCAGCATTAAGTTTAGAAAAATGCATTTTATATCAACATTAAAGCTGAGTGTATTTTATATTAGCGTTGTCTAAAATATGTTGAAACCAGTGGTAATAAAAAATTGTGAAAAGTTCTCGCAATGCAGCTGGTTATTATTTATTAGCACAACAATAATTTGACATTTAAAAAAATTTAATAGTTTTGTTATTTTTATTATTTACTCGTTAAAGCATTATAATTGTTTTTAATGCTGTGTCTTCCAATATTATGATTTCCAATATTAATTATTTAACGATGCAAAACTATTATTTTATTCGACTCATGTTTTGATGTTCTTCGTTTCGACGTAGGAGTTTGAATTAGACCGAGACCACACAGGTATTTAATGTAATGAATAATGTTAATGATCGAGAATTAAAGTTTCAACGATTCCATTAAACATTTGGAATCGAAAGAAGTCGCTTGATGTAGTCACAGAAGCAATGCATATAATATTTTCCTTCTTACATTTGTTTTTTGGCATTGATTTAATTTTTATTTTATTGTCTCGTAACACTGCGATAAAATGATTCTGATACATATTCCTTTCGAATTTTGAGGAGATGAAAATCAAAATTGTTCTTTAACTTGCTTTTTAGCAAACTTTTACATTTTAAAATTGTAATTTCATTTTCAATTGGTAAAAAAGTACGTAAGCAAATATTAAAAAGGCTTTCTATTCCAATGAAGATCGACATTATCATCTTAAGGTTGTAATACTTAAATTGGAATTGTTTCATTCAACGATCTTATCATTCATATAAAAATTACTTTTAAAATAATATTGCACGTGTCATTCAAATACAGTTCCAGTTTAACAAATACAAAATTATCCTGCAGATCAATAAAATATGCTTTCCAACTTTTTATTGTTAATAATAATCTTAAACAAAGTTAATCGAATCTTTAATAGCAGGATAGTGTTCAACGAAGTACGTTAACATGTTGTATTAAAACGCTAACAGTAAGTATTAATTTGCACAATTTTACTTTTGAAGAGCATATAGAACAGTTAAAGCTCTGAATTATTTTACTTTGAAATGATAACGTTGTAATATTACAGTCTCATGGAGTTGCATTTATTTTGCTTCATTAAAATTTTGCAGTACATTCAGTTAATTGTCCCATTCAGGATAAATTAGGTCACTGAAATCCTCTAACATTGCTCAAGTAAAGAAAGGTGAGTTTTTAGAAAAAGAAAATTTATTATATGCTGCATTGGCTCTAAAATAGTTTTAACTGGGAAAAGCAATTCTTAACCAATAACTGTTAAACAAACGTTTATCAGAAAGAAAAAAATGAAAAATATGAGGTTTTGTCATTCTAAAAAAATTAGCTTTATTGCCTTTCTTAGCTAGAAATATAAAAGTGTAAGGCCAGGTAATTATCATGCACTTTCGGCTTATTAGCGTATGACTCTCGTTTCGAGAGAAAGAACAAAACCGGACTCTATTTTCTCCTCTTGTGAAAAAAGCATCTAAAGAATTGAACTCTAAGTTTAAAATATTTAAATAATTAAAATGAAATGCACTGAGAAGGATTGTTTTTTCGTTTTTTCATAGCTCTAATAATACACTGAACTTGAGCCAAAGTTTAAGAATTGAATATTAGAGCGAACAGAAAAATCCGATACCTTCTCCCGTTAGTTTTCCATGAATTTATTTTGACTTAAGCAAGTATTATTTCAATGCAATTAATTCAGTTTAATTTTTTATAAAGTAGCGGGAATCTAAAGTACGTCCTTGAATATTTATATACTATTTATTTACAGAACATCTGATTAACTACAGTTTGAATAATGTCACGTGTAGTTACCAAATTTATAGAGTTCAAGTACTTGCAAATTTTTCTAAGCACTAATCATTTCATGAAAATTAAAATTAAAATAAAAATTAACTTACTGTCTTTTCCCGCAGTCTTGGCTTGGCAGGTAGAGAGAAACTATGAACGTGACTGCCGATAGATGGCGTTACCATCATCGCTAGAATGAAAAAGATTCATCACAAATAGCGGTATAGCAAGATGCTGCCCTTCTCTATCTTAACACATGAGGATTCCACATTTTAATTCCATTAATGCTACCAAGTTTTTAGGATATATATTTATAATGGATGTTGATAAGATGATTTATTTAAACCAAGAGAATCTGTTACATTGAAGATTAGAAGAACAATTATGCTACATCTTAAACGCCAACAACTTATTTTGGAAGCTATTGGGCGCTTTAAAATAATTTTTTACTTCATTCTCTGTTTGATTTAGCTGGAAAGTGTATTTAAATTAATCTCTGTTGTTTAAGATAACACATAAAATTTAATAGTAAAGCTAAAGATAATATGGAAACACACATTCATTGAAATTTTATATTTCCCATTAAAAATTTGCATGAAAGATAATAAGCTTCCATCATGACGCAGCTTAATTTTGAAACGTTTCATGTTGATACATACATAAAATTAACATATTCATATTAACTTCTTAATTAACATATGCATATAACCGCCTGTGCTATCTATAAAGTGTATTTATTTGAATTGCCTGTGGGAAAATCACAAAAACATGATTTGTCATTTAAAGTTATTGGAAATTTATTATTGAGGATAAACAATTTTTTCAAGTACAAAATTTGATTTAAAACAGATTTTGTTGCATTTCGGTCATTTATTGTTATCCTGTGTGCGTGGCAGGTTTCTGTAAATTTTAAAATTTGTCACAATATTGTTTTTCTCTTATAAAAATAAGAAACGTCGGTGTTCTGTGCCCCACATAAGAATGCTGGCTGTGCCAAAGGTTCTAAGTTGTCTTTATCGGATCTTAGTGCATGAACCAATCTTTTATCATATATAGAAACTTAACGAGAGCTTAATGCCTTAAGCAATATTTATTCCCAGTACACGGAGACAGTATTTAAAATCTGCATTATAATACTGAACTTTTCTACTTTGTTAGAATCTTATTTTGATCAAGTAGTCTTTTTAATATGCATAAAAACACGTGCAATTGTTCTGTTATCAAACTCAGCCGGTTTGCACCGGTTCAGCAGGATCAATTTCTAAAATACTTCACCTAAAATACAAATTTTAAAAATATTAGCTAGACAAATCGATTATTAAAACTTATTCGTAAGATCTATTTCGGCAATTTATGGCTATATTAATAGCTAATTTTATGACTTATTTAAGCAATAAATTTGATCTTAAAATGTTTGAATACAGTTGCTTTTTTTCTTCAAAAAATCCTCCAAGAAAGCATTCTTTATTTAGGCAGATAAGAGGTAGTATACTTTACTATTACTAACAAACTGAGACTTATTTTAATCAATGTGAACCGTTATCAGTCAACATCAGGGAAGAATCTTATAGAAATGAAGTTTTTGAATTATGTGTTTAGTATAAAAGACTTTATGACAATCTGTAATATAAACAAGAATGCATTATAATAGAAAAGAATTGAACTTTGCAGTCTTTATTAAACAGCTTTATTTCCGCCTAATTGTAGAACTGTTAAGGTTATAATTCAGCCGTAGAGAGAGTGGATAATATGAGACCCTGATATTGATGTAATTAATACTATTCTGATATGCGTTTGTTACTTGCATTCTAAACATTTACATCTGATGTGGTTTGCAACTTAAATGTTACTAGAATGTATGCAGTGGCTTAAACATAAATTCTTTAAGCATCGGAAAAAATTTTAGGTTTATCTAAAAGCCCAAGGAATTTGAAAAGGTTATTTCAAAACAGATTCAGAAACATTTTCTCTAAAATGCGTCTTTAATTATAATTAAAAAAATTACTAGAAGTGCTTAAAATGCTATTTTAAAGAGAAATTACTTGATATGAGTTACAACAATTTTTATTATTTTGAAGCTATGTAAGAATTTCGAAAGATAGGCTTCTAAACGGAAGGCATCTACTGAAAGACGTATTAAAAACAAAATTAGGAAACTAATTTTTAAAGGAAACAAAATTCTGAAGAAATGATGGATTTACTTCTGAAAATTATTTTTGTGAAAATTAAAAAATTATTATAATCTTAGTAGGTTAAAAATATATAAAGCATTCCTTTTCAAAATAATATTTATTCACGTTAATTCTAAATACTTTATGAGTATAAAAAATTAACCATAATTCACTAACATGGATATCAGCGATTTTTTATAAATCAAAATGGATCTTATAATGGTATCACAAAAGCGCATTAAATATTTTTCATATAGTTTTATCATTTAGATTAGTTTTACAAAAACTAACAGACGTAGTAATGAAGAATACTTTTAAGACAGTTCGTTATGATGTTTTAAATATGACACTGGGCTATTAAAGATATTCTTAAGTTATGAAAATATTAATGAAATATCGTAGAGATCAGTTTTATATAATGTTTAGATTAAGAACCTTAATACAATTATTTTCTATAATCAATGTAGTCTGAAAGTTCAGTCTAGAACGTTATAGGAGCTGAGTAAGATATTTTCGTGACTGACACACTTGTGGTTAGCGGTTTTTTCCAATAAAGGAACAAACATGACTTATGATACGATCAAAGACTGAGAACCTATATATCATCAAGATCTAATAAGAGAAGACACGAGGAGGAATAAGTCGTGATTATCACTCAGTCAAAATGAACATCATGTGGTAGTATCATTATTTTTTCAATTTTAGTTTTATAATTGATTTATTTTGATTTTCGTTGAGTTTTATAATTGATTTATTTCGTTTAGTTTTATAATTGATTATATTTGACGTTTTTGGCGTATCTTACCACAGCGAGCTTTCAAATGTATTATCATGTTTTCAATTTCGTTTTAGTGCTACGTTGTTGGGGTATCCTACCACCTTGATCTTCCAGAAAGAAAGTTGGTTACATCGTATGGACTATCTATTTGCTTGCGTTTTTCAACAAATATCGAAAAGTATGAAGTTGTTAAAGCAAGAATAAAAATAGTGAGCAACTATTTAAAAATGATATAAAAACAGCTAAATGATTTAATGAATTCTGTAATTAGTTTTAGGGATAGCTTACAGTATTCTAAATCTGTCTATTACTTTTAGATGAGTACGCTTTGTATTAACACCCGTCATAAAACTAGACTAAATTACGGGCCTAACGTATGGGTGCTACCTTGACTTAACATTCTACAGAAATGCAGAAAATCGTGCCCAAGGTTCACTTACCGTATTTTGAGTATATTTATCAAAGTTTACGTGTAAGCGTGCTCAGTTCTAATACAATTGGTTATGAATGTGGCTGTGGAACAATATCTCGCTAAGAACCATTGTTAACTAATTGCATTCAATATCACGAAGAGCGAATTTATGAGAATTTGAATGCGGAAAGATATTCAGATCAGCACACGTAAATTTCAATAAATGCTTTCAATGTTTGATGATCTAAAACCATAGGAACTTTGAAACATCAAAAGTATAAAACAGGGTTGGGAATTATAATTAGGTTAAAATGCTTACGAGAGTTATCACATAATATTTAGCCTATGTATATTCATTTCGAAATGTCTTAGCTAATGTTAACTGTCGTAATAATTTAGGAATTTTGAAAAGTAAGATTTGTTTTGGCTTAAATTACTAATTTGATCAATGCACATTAGCATTTAAATCCTGCTGCTTTATATTCATATTATTAAATTATTTCATCAGCAACAGATGGAAGTGTACCTAATACTTCCTGAAGCTAATTAATGAATCCGTATATTTTTCATAACATTGAAATATGCTGTAACTGCTGAGCATAATGCTGTGTTTCTTGTTTTCTCTGAATACGCAGGGGGGGAGAGCTAAGACACTTACAGGGAAAGAGCTGTACATCATCACTCATGAATATTACTTAACTTTCACTTACACTCCAGGAGCAAATAATTAGCACGATACCTTCTTTTTCTATTTTAATTTATATATTACCTGATCTTAAATTATCCTCCATTTTGAAGCTGGCATCTATTAAGCAAGTGAATCAGACTAAACGAAGTAGAAATTGAGAGTCTTTTGACTTACCCTTACATTTTGAATTTCCAGGCTAGGCAAGAGGGGTTATTTTGTGAAAGGCACAGAATTAACGATCCAGTAAGATTCTAATAATATTTGAGTTTTGAAATCTTCCATTGTTACTGGCCTTTCATAAAACACTGTGTTACATAAAAAAATTCTGTTTTCATATTTTATTTCCCAAATATTTACCTATGCAAAATTTTAACTAACCTTGTAGCAATGGAACAAGAATTTCTCTCTCTCTATATATATATTATATTTTTAATGATATTTAAAAAAGAATAAACAACAAATAAATTTTTAATGAAATTAAAATTTTTATTTTTTCTCAGTATGGGCACCGATCAAGAGGTTCATAGAAGAGGGTGGATTTTCTACAAGGGATAGCTGTATTGGAATTATGAATACGTATATATATTTAAGATAAAAATTGTGCAAACTAAAATGATAACCTAAATTAGAAATATCCTCTTAACTCCTCATTTTAATTTGTGTTTTTTCCTCTCTGTTCTAAAAATAATAATTACGTTTTCTGGACTGCGTCATTTCTAGATTAATCCTATTATATGACGTTTACATAACAATGATGACATAGCAAATTAGGACCTTATTTCAAGATTTCGAGAAGGAAATCTTTCTTTTAATAAGCTGCCATATTGGATAACTGTTCACTTTACTTCTTCCTCTGTTCTCGCTAAGATACGCTACCTTGCTTCTTTCTGCCTATGGTAACAATATCAAAAATGTAAATATTCTTGAAAGTGCACGAATAGTGTGACAATTTGTTTGCAGCCGCAAATGCTTATTGAAATAAAATTGAATATTTAATCTGCCTCGGCTGCCAAGTTTGCTATCCATTATGGATCAATATCTAAGAAACGCAATATTTCTATATTTACGCCATCAACATTCCTATCAAATCTAAGACTTCTAATCTAAGACATAAAATCTAAGACTTCTTTATTACATTACA